CCTATATTATATCAGAGTTCTTTAGTACTGACGGCTCATCTAGGGTTCAATATGGCGCGGTTCATATAGTTATTTTACCAGTAATATCTATAAAGGAAAGGGTTAAATGAGAATCATGAAGGAAGTTGAATAAATAAACTTAAAGAAAACTTAACATTTCTTGTAGAATATGATTGGTCTTGCGAAGCTATAATTACACGAGGTCATTCAAATATCTTGCAAGCAAATTCGCTGAATTAATGTTTACCGCCGACAGCATCATATACTGATTGAAAATTAAACAATTGCAGGATACATTTCGAATAAAGACTCCGGGGAAATAGTCGGTTAAAGCATAAATTATCAGGGCCCATATCACTCAAGGTCACGGCGATAATGCACATGCCCTTTTTGTATTGAAGGTTCCCACACAATTAAAATAGATATATTTAACATTTGAAGACATGAAATACTTAAGTTATCTGACTGAATATTAAGCAACCAGGGGTCTTAACTTCGGGTAAGTGCCGTCAATATACACATCTCCGCTTGGTATTAGATGTACCCACATAGTTTTGTTTAAATTATTCAGCAGATTTGTTGAAGAATAGGGTTGAATTAATGCTTTTCTATGAACAATAAATGATAATAATTATGGATCATAACTCTGTATTAAACGGCCAAACGGGAAATACTGATGATGATGATGATGATGATGATGATATGCACATCTTGTTTGTTTGTTTATGTGTTTATCTAAAGTCGCCGCCGGAAAGCCCATATAAGCGACCGTACCCTCAAGTCGGACCAAATCCTTTAGTGTCCCGTCGAGATTTTTCGAGATGCGCATCTCCTCTTTATATTAAACTAAATTTCGTTGAAATTCCTAGAGCGCAGAAAAGCAATAGTTCTATATACAGTGTTTTATAAATAACAACAACAACAAGGGGCAATAAGTCTGTTTTTAAAAAAAAATGGAGATATGCTGGTTATATGTGCAACTGGTTTGTGAATGAAGGTTCCTACAAAGTTGCAGCATCGATATCCATCCAGAAGTTGCTGAAAAATAGCGTGGAAACGAAATGATTCCATATACAGTGTATAATAACTAATCAATGGCCGGATAGTGCGGAAACTAAATCTGGACTGACAGGCGGACGAACACGCTAAAACAGTCCCATCACTCCCGATTTCATCAGCGGGGGAGGGGATAAAAATGTCTGTAGTTTTAGTTCCAATAATTGATTTCAGTCCTAAAAATTTGTGACGTTTGTGACTCAGTGAAAAGCATTGAAGAAAACAATATTTATCTCAAATTTGTGACATTTGTGATTTTAAACTCGTGACGAATGTGATTGTCTAAAACATTGGATCACATGCATCACAAAATTTGTGACGAATGTGATCTCATTCTTCACAATTGTGACGAATGTGATTTGTGACACATGTGGCCTTACAAAGCTTATTCAAAATTGAATCAACCCAAGTGAATATTGATCAGGAAGTTATATCTTCTTTTTTACCGCCAACACTCAACCAACTTATGGTAGTTTATCGATAGTTTTAAACCTCACTAGCTGTTAGCAGAGTTTGCGGTTATTACGTCGACCATTTCTCAGTGCTATGAATGGTGTTATAAAAAAAAAACAAAAAAAAAAAAACAAACAAAAAAAAAACAACAACACATTTTCTGCAGTATTTTTTCAAGTGTTGTAAAATGAATTATACGAAATTCCTCTTATGTCGCCGATTATTTTTAGAACACAAACATATATGTTTTTTTTATTTTATTTATTCAAATTAACATTAATCACTTCAGCGCGCGCAAATATCGTTTTCAAATTAAAGTTTCTTAAATATGTCGATGAATTCGCGATATTCGACTGCAAGTCATTCGTATATACATGCGTTTTACTCTTTTTTTTTAAAAGCTTCTTATTCTTTAATATTTTTTATGTATATGTACTGAAAATTTGAATGTTATTACACATGGACTATCAAATTATGATGCGTTGCCCTAGAATTGAATAAACTTTCTAATTATACAATACGGGGTCATTCACTTGATTGAAGACTGATATTTGCGTCTTTCTCTGAAATAATTATTTCCTTGTTAAAACATATTTGACCACAAATTTCTGTCATTTAACTGTTCACTATACTTCCGATTTTTATTGTACCGAAACACGTCTTTTTATTAGTGTTTTCTAATCAATTCGAATCTATAATCAGTTTAGTGAGATCACCACCGGGTAAACGACTACTAAGTACTTTGATCATGTTTTTTACCACAAATATTGGGATAAAACTGAGCGTAGTTTACTAAACAACTGGTTGTATAGATCCCTGATCTCTCTTATTCTAATTATGAGATTAGTGGATACATTAAGACTTTTACCACAACATATTCCTAAACAAAAGAGCACATGTTTAATTTTATTCTTATTCGAATAAAAGATCAGAGAAGGGATCTATCAATTGCCAGACATATTTTTAAAGATACTGTTATTACACTTTTTTTAGTATAGGATAGTAGTATTAAAGTAACTTAAATATGATTATTGAAAGAAAAAAAATTCCTACCAGGAGCAAGAAATGCTTTTGAACTATTACGAAAAATGAGCCGCGTCACGACAAAACCAACATAATGGGTTTGCGACCAGCATGGATCCAGACCAGCCTGCGCATCCGCGCAGTCTGATCAGTATCCATGCTGTTCGCTATCAGTTTCTTTACTTGTTAAAGGGTTTGTAAGCGAACAGCATGGATCCTGATCAGACTGCGCGGATGCGTAGGCTGGTCTGGATCCATGCTGGTCGCAAACCCATTATGTTGGTTTTGTCGTGACGCGGCTCAAACAAGCTTTTCCTTAAAATTATTATAATGCAGTTCAACGATTATTGGTGCAGAACGTCGATTTGGCGAACCAATATATTGACAAGCGTTGTTTAATCGAAAAAGAATTGTAGGATTTTCAACATAGGTATACAAATTTGTCAAGACCTTGCTCAAACATAGAATGAAAATGATATGAAAATTGGTCACCATATGCCTGTAATCTTCTAAATATTGAATAGAAATGAAAAAAGAACAAAGAATAAAAAACATACAAACGCACGCACACACGCACGCACGCACACGCACACACACACACACACACACACACACACACACACACACAATAGAAAAACAAAACAAAGATAATCTCAATGTTAAACATTTTTGGAAAACTTGCTTTATTTCAGCAAGTATGTCAAGTGATAATTGCTGTGCGGAATGTACAGAAGCTCGGTAGTTTTTATTTCGTCCTCTAAAATATCACTAATCAGATGCAAACTGATTCCGCATTCAATGAATATGACTACATCTGCCTCTGTCAACTGTTTATTAGAAACCAACACAAATCTAAAATTGTACCAATGTTAATTACTAGTATACACCAGCACAAGTTTAAAATTGTACCAACGTCAGTTATATACCAGCACTTGTCTAGAACTGTACCAACGTCAGTTATATACCAGCATTTATCAGAAATGATACCAATGTCAATTCAGGCAATCATTTTACTATGGAAATATGATGTACATGTATATACACATATTATCATTTTTTTTTCACAGGCATGCGTCTTGTTGCAATAACTGACAAACGTATACGCTCAATTGCAGCTAATAAAATAGAAGAATGCTGGTGCAATTTGCAGATAACTTCACAGACATACGCCTAATAAATCTCTTCTATGTTTTGTAAATTAGATCACCTTTTTCTCTTACACTCATGGAGAAAAGCATTTACTGCAATACTCCACGAAAATTGCACTTTATTTTGTTGTTATTATACCATTAATCAACATCATTTGTGAGTATCTAGTATAATGTTTTAGGCGATTACTTGAAATGTTTAGGGTAATTAACTATATAATAAAATTCACATTTCAGCAAATACCTTTATTATCGTTAATGGTTTTTTTCTCTCTCCAAAGTTTCTCCTAATTCTGAAGTATCAAAGTAGGTCTTCCAGGTCTATGCTCCAGAAAATAGGATATTTATTTTTTTCTTACTAGGAGTCACAAGTTCGGTCACAAAATACATGTATATGAATCAAAAGTTCGCGTGCGTGTGTGTGTACGTGCGTGATCTTTGCTTAATAAGGGATGAAGGTCCCTCCACCCGTTGAGGCACAAAAGCAGCTTTTGCGGTCAAGCCCGTCCTCGGACATGTCGCTAGTCATACCATTAAAGAGGTAATTTTGAAGTACAAAGTGGTGATTTCCACAGGGTATTAGCTAAACAATTTTGAGATGAAAATAGTAAGCCGGCAATGTACAGCCGGCAATGGTCCACGATAACACTTTATTCTTAACATATATCTATGTAATAATATTGTACGTACATGTATAATAACTGTAATGTAATAAATATTGTACTGTATGTTTTGTTTATGAATTTAATGCATTTTACCGGCAGGCATTTTTTATCATATTATAATTGTATAACAGCGAACATTGAGAAACAAAACTAATACAACTGGTACGAGAAATAGAGAATGAGAGTGTATTATGTCATTTAATTTTCTTATTTGAAAAATTACAAAAGAATCTAAGAAGTACCGTACATGATGAACTCGGACAATCGTATATTTTTAGAGTGTTTTGTGATAAAATACTATGTTATTTTATGTATTATCAAGCTCTCACTATTACCAACTTTACGTTGACTATGTCCGAAGTATGTCGAATGTTTTGTTACTTATTTTGTTATTGTGATGGTAAGACTAAAATGACGTAATGTAATAACAATTAAAACGCAAAATGAAGCAAAAAAATTTTAAATTAAAAATAAAAATTAAATTTTGTTTTTTTCTACCCCCAAAAAATTTCTTTTAAAAATTATCTTTTTGTTAACATGCACTCTAATAAAATGCATCAGCTGATTAGATTCCAATCTTCAAGCACAAGTTAACTCTTTCATATTTTATGGTCTTAACATAAAACTTAGGATATATCTTGGAGAAAAGCCAGATTCTGTTTTTGACGTCTGCTTCACAATACAGTAGTATATTAACATTATGGCGAAAACACCTGCCGGTTCGTCTGCCATTTTTAGGGCGGGCTTTTTAGTACTAACATTGGCGTTTATATTACTAATAGTCGGTTTTGTTACTCCGAATTGGACAGAAATTACGGCTGGAGACCTATTGATACTTAGATCAGGATTATGGAAATCGTGTACGGATGTACTTGGTGCAGGCGAGAATTGCGGTGAAAGCAAATACGAAGATGAAGGTATGCAGTATTTTGTATAGTTTTTGCATGCACTTGTTTTAAGTAAAGATTTGTTTTAGATTATTTACTGAGAATCAAACGCTGTAGTCTACTAGTATTTATTTTTTATAAGTCAGGGGAAATTTCTCACAGTATCATTATGTTTTTGATAAGAAATGTATTATGAATGAACTTTAAAAAAAAATAAGAACAAGGAGAAGCAAAACTTGAGCAGAAAATACCTGGAATAAACTCTCGTATGCTGTTCATTTATTAGCTGTAATTGAGTCTCTGCTTGTGTTAGTTATTATAATTGTTTTTCCAACGGGTTTGTGAAAATATCAGCCAAATTTTGCATCGAGACGACCTATATATGAGCCGCGTCACGACAAAACCAACATAGTGGGTTTGCGACCAGCATGGATCCAGACCAGCCTGCGCCTTCGCGCAGTCTGATCAAGATCCATGCTGTTCGCTATCAAAACTTGTAATAGGGTTTGTAAGCGAACAGCATATGCGCAGGCTGGTCTGGATCCATGCTGGTCGCAAACGCATTACATTGGTTTTGTCATGACGCGGCTCATATTTCTGTAATATACTAAGTATATGTAATTTGGACGTGACAAGTATTATTTTCACATACGAAAATAAATTATTACAAAACTTTATGTATCTTATTAACTTTAGGCTCAGAATAATATCTCGGCTCTTAACTAATTAATAATTTTACACCAGTATTAAAAAGCTTTTGAGAAATAAGTTTAAAAGCATTTCTGAGGCATAATGGGTCTTTGAAGGAATTACGTATATAATGTAAAATGGACTGTCAACAAGTTGTTGCATTTTTCTTGTCATTTGATATTTTCTTGTCATTTGAAAACAAGAGTGAAAGTTTCAATCTCAATTACATGATGTTATCGTCAACTTATATACCTTGTACAAACAGCACACACAAATCAAGTATCTCAAGTACTTCTGAAAACCGCAATATTATCTTAAACAATTTTTCTTATTGCTTGTGAAGTAGGCTTAAATATTTACGATTCGACATAATGTTCTACATCTGATGAACTCACTCCTTTTTGTCATTAAGTATTTTTGTACTGAGTACCTGGCTGCTAAATATATCTGAAACAGTTTCCATTTGTTTTTGTTGGTGGTGTTGTTGCGTTTTACGTCTAACCAACACAGTATAGGTCAAACGGCGAATTTCCAGCTTCACTGGTGGAGGAAGACCTCAGATGCCCTTACGTGCATTTTTGTAAGACACGAACGGGCACCCTAGTATAGAATCACCGACTCGAACCCACAGGGGTGAGGCAAAAGTGGTTTTAAAGGCAAACACCTAAACCACTCGGCAACGGACGCACCCTGAAACATGTCTAATTGGGGACGAGATTATGGGTTTGCAAAAGAATGTTTCAAGGTCAAATTATATGTTCAAAGCAATTAATAAAAATTATATGATCAAAGATTGTTCAGGCTTGAGAAGATCCCCACATATTGAGACATTTTGCCATGTGATTGATAATAGCGATATTTATTGAGGATTGTAGATTGTAAAATTACGTTTCTAAAGTAATATCACCTCACGGCACAAGTGATAAACAACAAAAATCTGAAAGAAGGGTAATCCATCGGAAGCATTAGTCACAACACAATTACATGAAAATGCAGACTCGGTTTGACTGAGACTGTATATGAGTGAAAAAGTGCAACATCCTCACTTCCCTCGTACCGGTTGGAGCGGTACACTTAAAAGTGTTGGAATCAATGATCCAGAAAGACCAGAAAAATATAACAAAACTGAAGTAATGAATACCCTTTTAATTTATTGATCTTGTTTTAGATAGCGATGATGCCTAAAATGTTTTGGTTTTCTGAGTTACTGTTTTGTCAATCTACACTTGCATCTTTATTCTATCCACATATTCTGCCATTATGATGTGCAAGTTTCATATTGCAACTGTCAATGTAATACAACTACAGAAAGACCCTGTGTTGCGATACTTTTTATCCACATGGGAAAACATTCAATACGAAATAAAATGTTAAAGTTGCCAAATGATATCACTGATATAAAATCATATCGCATTTAATATTGACATAGAAATTAAAAATATAGTTATGTCGCATATTATATCACATCAATTCAAATTTTTATAATGTGCAACGCGGTCGGGTAAAATATTCAATTTTCAGAGACTTTTTATACTGTTTACAAAATATTTATTCGAATATTATAGGCTGGTTTTTAGCTGTGAAGACGTTCGGAGCACTGGGACTGGGATGTTTAAGTTTAGCTCTCATCATGTCTTTTGTGCTACTTGTTGCGGTGTCTAATGAACGTTTGGCAAGGGTGAATGTTTACACTGGAACTTTTGCAGGTATCTGTGTTTTTTTCTCTGAAAAATAAAATATCCTGAGATGTTTAGAATAAAGTAAAGAATTTGACAAACGTTTCACTCTTGAATGTTAATCATATGAATCTTGTAATTCAAATATTCCAAATACATGTATGTTATTTTTCCATAATCGGATCTTTATTATTTTACAATGAGGGAAACTGTGACCTAGTGGTTAAGGTGTCTGCCTCTCAACCCAGAGACCATGGATTCAAGCCCTACTCGGGTCACGACAATATTTCCTCATATGACAACAGTACTGGTTGGTTCCAGGAAGCGGATTCGAAAGTGATTAATATCAGTTGCAAAAAATTGTTTCGCAATCGAGCTAAAAACAAAACTATTATTTTATATATTTCAGCCATATTCATTGTAACTAGTACGGCGACATATACATTTAAGTCAGAACTTGACCAGCTCGGGTACTCCTGTTGGATGTCATGGTTGTCTTCAGGGCTTCTTATAGTCGCTATCATAATCCTAGAATGTGCTCGTAAAAAGGCTAACCGTAGACAAATGACATTAAACCACGCAGCAGAAGTTGTTTCCGAGGAGGATAAGTCAAGTGACCAAAGTATTCAAATGGAAGATTTAACGCCTAAGACTGCAACAGCCATACAGCCGCTTGTGGTACATCAGACTTAATAATCAGATCATAATTATTGGAGTAAACAAAAGACTTAATGTTACTTTTCCATGTTAAGAAACGAGGAGAGAAATGATCTTGAACATCGGATGTATATTTTTATTGTTATGAAAAATGCTTATGAGAGGAGCCCCCCAAAAAAACTAAACAAAACTTTGCTCAACCGATTCTGTGTTGTTTCGATTTACATCTACTAAAAAACTGTTCATTCATATGAATTATATTGAAACTGATGATATACCTTGGCGCCAGGAAAGTCGATAATGTTGAGTGTTCGAGGGCTGTATAATATGTTCGTAGACTACGATTATATTATTCTAATATATTTAATAGGAACTTTTCTATAATAACGAAGCTGCAAACTTAACTAACAAAATATTGTCTGGAAAAATATTTACCATAGTAACAATGATCATATCGGAAGCAACACGTCGTCATCCGGATCACACAGATTTTTAACATAATAATTTTTCATTTCTGTAAAAGAACGAACTATTTAGCGTTAACATAAAAAGAGCGAGAAAAAGCTATGGTCTTAAGCTTAGCGTTGACGTCATCAACATTTTAATGTTATATTACTTGAATGCAGAAACAGTAACAAGCGGTAGTAAAGGCATGACGTCAAGAAATTATTTGCAAATACGCGCATACATTACATTTTGTACCAATCTTGGTCAGGTTTGAATCTTACACGTGTCATTTTACAACGCGCCCGCACACACAAGGCCAATCCAACAATACTGGAGATCAGTGGTCTAGTATTTGTAACTATAGCTCGCCTTCTTTATACCCAGACCTAGACCCGATGGACCTCCGCTTCTTCTGGAACTGCGATTTGATTCAGTCGATGACGTCAATGTATTGTTGCTTCATTTCATGAGTGTTGGTACATTCTTATACTTATAGGAAACATTCTATAAGTGAATCTCCAGGCATGAAACGTCTGTCCGTTTGACTTGGATTACATCGAAAGCTATTCGTTGCTTTTATAAAATGACGTTATATTGACGTTTTTTATGACGTCATGCTCCGGGCTTCGTTAATGTATTGTGTTTACATTACTTTTATTTGTAAAATGTTTGATGTATTTATAATTTCTTGTTGTTCTTTTTTGTACTGTGAAACAAATAAACTTTATTTTGTATGTATATAAATTTTAATACTATATTACACGTTAACTTCTCCCTTCAATGAAAGTCTAAGAACTTGTCATGCAGCCCTCGTTTAACGTCTTACAATGAATGTAATGACGGTAGGCAATTTCAATTTTTTTAATCGCCACATTTCGACATATTCCGACATATTCCGTTATACTTCATAATACCAAACGGAGGCAGCATGTCAGTATTAATCTAAGCTATATGATAAATGCTTGATAGAAGCTTAAAACTGAAAATAGTTTCCGGAGCATAACTTAAGTTCCATTTGGCCCACAATATTCAAACTTCATAGGATGATTGTCCATATTGGGTAGAAGACCCCTATTAATTTTGGAGTCACAAGGTCAAGGTCACTATAACCTTAAAACTGAAAACAGTTTCCGGAGCAAAACTTAAGTTCCATTTGGCCCACATTATTCAAATATCATAGGATGATTGTCCATATTGGGTAGAAGACCCCTATTGATTTTGGGGGGTCACAAGTTCAAGGCACTATTACAGTACGCTCAGCGCGACATTTTCAAAACCCGCGTGACCCCGCGGATGAGGTTTACCGCGGACGAAAATTTGCTCAGATATTGTCCGCGTGACCCCGCGGACAGAAAATTTTCACCACCGCGGACATAAATCGGCGGCTGAAACCGTTTCCCCCGCGGAACGCAGCGGTAAATTGCGGAGGAACGCGGCGGTCAAACACCGGTAAACACGGTGGAAACCTTAAATTTTAAAAATTAATTACTGTATTTCAACATCAGTATACGTACGTACTGTAACATGTACTGTACATATAACTATATGTAAAATTTGTTTGTTTGTTTTCTTTTTTGTTGTAATAAAAGTACATGTACAAATGCAGTGTACATGTATTTCTTGTTCTTCTTCTTGTTATTGTGTTGCGTAATGTATAATATGTATTCGACATCAAGATAAATCATTGTCGTCGCAACTTCATGGTAGTGAGAAACTTGAAGTCAAATAATGAAAAATTCGGCATATGACATTTATGAAAAAGATACTACAACAATTTATATGCCAGCTTTTGTTTCTTATTTAAAAACTTTGAAAACGTAACCCTCAACAATTTATTCAGGCAATATTCAAGGACGTCTCTTTCAATTGTCAGATGCGTTTTACTGTTTCTGTTTATTTGCATGTTGATCATAAAGTCTTATATTTTATTTGGAACATTAAAAGAAAGCGTTTATTTCACCAAAATATACATTAAATGATATTCTTGATTTATCTAATTACAGGTGTGAGCGTAATGTATATGTTTTGAAGTTTGTATCAACTGTTGAAGTTTATTTTCATTTTTGTTTTAGTAGTTTGTTTGTTTGTTCTTTTTTATTTTTTTATAGATTTTTTTTTTGCAGAATTTTGTTAAACTTGACGTTATACTTTTTGTTATTTTATTATGAACAGCATGTACATACATGTATATAAGGCAAACAAGCACATGGCAGTTATTTTCTAAGAACTTCCATCGACCGATTTTCAAGTTAAAAATATTTCATTTTATTTTTATCTTAAGATATTATTGTTCATGGGAATAATAGTATTTGTAGACAACATGTAGTTTTAAGTACATACAATTGAACGTAATTGTCTTTGCTTTCTTGTATTTATTATATTAAGTTTTCATTGAAATTAATTCCGAGGATAATAATGTAATTTTATAATTTGTAAAAGGCAGCCTAATTATTACTTTTTAATGGGTGAATTTGTGTCAAACAAATATACGGTATGTACAGTATACAAAAACTTTTTGGCAAGTGTCATGCATATTTCTCATGTCCATTTTCGACGGGGTTTTTACTGTAAAAAAAAACACAAACAAACAAGTCTACCCGTTTTTAAAGAATATAATTGCATACAAATAAAATCTTATAGATGGTTTAAATATCTTTTTCTTTTATTTCTAAGATATGTACATGTATTTTATTTATGTCTTGTCTTGTATTCACACTCATCGACCTCTTACAGGACATGTACTGTAGCGTCAGTCATCATTGAGAAATCAGCACAAATGTCCTTTTTTATACTAAGTATCATATTTATGGCTCCCATATAGTTTAACAGCAATAATACTTTGAGAACCACAAGGAATGAAAAAGTAAAGATGACAGTGATAAAAGACGATTTCAGTTGTAAAAATATTGGTATGTGGACGAATAGTTTTGTGGACGTTTATAACAAAAATATTAAAAACAACAACAAAAACAGGTACAGCTGTAATTATTTTTATTTCAAATTCCGTTCAAAAAATTTAACGTATAATAACATTTAAGGAGACGATTGTGGTAAATTTTCAAGTCATTGTGTAAAAATGATGACGTTAAAAAATAATAAAACGTCTATTATTTTTGGAGGTTAATTTATACTGACCAACTGACCTTGGCGTTCCCCCGCGGGAAACGGGTGACTGATTTTATCGACGAATGAAGAACGGTCGTCAGAATTTTGTCCGCGGTGGAAACAACTGAACACCGGGGATCGCGGGGGAAATTAGGCTTTCATCGCGGACGAACCTCCGCGTTTGTCCGCGATAAAAAAAAAAGTCCGCGGTGGTATCGCGGAAAAAGCAAAACCCGCGGTGAGCGTACTGTACCTTAAAACTGAAAACAGTTTCCGGAGCATAACTTTAGTTCCATTTGGCCCACAATATTCAAACTTCATAGGATGATTGTCCATATTGGTTAGAAGACCCCCAATTGATTTTGGGGGTCACAACCAATTAGGGGTCACAAGGTCAAAGGTCAAGGTCACTATTACCTAAAACTGAAAACAGTTTCTTGAACATAACGTAAGTTCCATTTGGCCCGAAGTTTTCAGACTTCATAGGATGATTGTCCATATTTTGTAAAACACCCCTATTGATTTTTGGGTCACAAAGTCAAAAATCAAGGTCATTATTACCTTAAAACTGAAAACAGTTTCCGGAGCATAACTTAAGTTCCATTTGGCCCACAATATTGAAACTTCATAGGAGTTTTGCTATTTGAAGGAGGTAATACTTAATTTAATTTCCATGTCTTCATGCTTCATGCTTATTTAAAAAAAATATAAACACTTTCGGTCATATAATGCTCCGCCTAGCGGTCCTCTTGTTTATATTAAAGCTAGAGTTTTATTTTAAGAAAACGAATAAACGGAAGATTTTTGTTTTTATTAAAGAAAATGTATAATTCGCTCTATTCATGTGTGAAGGTTCGAAATACTTTCTGTTGTGCTTTAAATAAACGAAATAGAAATAGGCCTATGCCCAGCAAACACATGACGTTAAAATAACGTCGGATTAATGTTAGATTTTGGTCACGACGTCGGCGACCAAAATACGACGTAAATCTGACGTTAAAATACCGATGCCTAATAGACGTTTCTTTTTGACGTCGAACTAACATCAGGTTCTGGTCGGTGTCCTGACGGTAGGTAAAAAAATAACAGAAAATAATTCTTATTCGCTGTTGTAATCATTTAAACTTTTTTTCAAATGTTATTTGGATTACAAATGAAATGTTCTTATATAAATACAGACCAAGATCGCGGCGCTGCAACCTAATAAAACATATAGGTGGCGCTGTATATAGGCAAGTTACATGTGTTATTGTTATGAAATCTATTTATAGCCACAGATCTGTTTACAGGTTCCAATCAATTAACGTTATAATATTATCATTTGTGGTACATTATATGTATCAAAATCACGAGTTTTTTAATAGTGCTTTAACATTTAATTGTATCATAGTTTGAAGACCTTTCTGTTGAAAAAGTGTCAGAGTTAAATCGTATACATATACATGCACAGTGCGGTAACTGGAGTGCGGGTATCAGTTACCCGCACTCCAGATAATGCCCGTTGATTGGTTCATTTTTGCTGGGGTTTACATATTGTGACGGCAGAGAAAGGGAAAGGGGCAGATATATCATATTCAAATGCTCGTTCATTGGTTAATTTTTTCTGGGGTTTCATTTTATGACAACAGGGAACGTGCTGTCATGTTTGACTATGATACAAAAGAGAAAGAACACCAAAACACTCGGCAATCTGATTTATACTCGGGGGCTACGCCCCCTCGTACAAATCAGATAGCCTCGTGTTTCGGTGCTCTTTCTATTACTCATAGTGACAGAAAAGGGAAAGAAAACGTAATTAACCTATAATTCGAATCTAAAGTCACGTGGATGGAAATTCAAATTCGTAGGCGTTACGTTTTGGCTGTCAGGCAGGAATCGGGATGCACTGATAAAGTTGATATTATAGATTTTCTTGAACAAAAAGGTCAGTTCAATTTATTTAGATTTATTTCTACTTTGTATTAGATAAATAATTGCATGATTGCAAGCACGCTTAAATTTAATTATCATTATTTGAACAGCTGAAGTAAAATGTCACACAAATTCGCGATAATGTCTAATAATAAATCTTTTTAAAATTGACATGTTTTAACTCTGCTTGTAAAGAGTTTATAATATGCCTTTCAGTACTGCCAAAGAGAATGCTTAGTTTTCATATTTTTCTTAAACTGTGATGTTTTTGTCAGTTAAAATCTGAGAATAGAGAATGAATTTGTACGATTTCGAGCATTTCGGACCAACACGTTTCGGTCCCAAATAACCCAAAACGTTCCGGTCCCAAATAACCCAAGACGTTTTGGTTCCAGACATTTCGGCATTTAATCTTTAATTTAAAACTATGAAATATTTAAGACTTGCGTAACTGTTCTATTTCAAACGTAGAATATACTGTATACATAAGTTAGAATATAATTTTCTTTTCAGGTAGTTTAAGTGTTGGACATGCTCTCAAAGGTCGGAGGGACGGAAACACGTGAATATGTAAAAAGAAACATATGACAGTAAGATTTTTGTAAATTCTATAACATACTTTAATCCATACTAAACTGGAGTTTAAAAGCGGCTTTTTAAATGTTCAGTACATGTTGTATCTATGTTTACTTTTAATTTTTGTTAAAGCTCTCATAAAAAGTTGGCAAAATTGTTCATTAAGTTAAGATAACCATGAAAACATTTTTGCTTGTTATTTTTACATGTTTCATAAATTTCTTTTTTTTCAGTGAAAATGATGTCACACACGCTATTGGACGCTACAAACGCTACATATCCTCCGGACAGACGAGGGGTGCTGAAAGAAGGTCATATCTTAAAGCATCACACCTCAAAATTCGTGCTAATTCTCATGGATATCTAAAAGTATAACTTTGTGAAGTAACTAAAAGGCAGCAATTTATACATTACTGACAATTAACAAAGGAGGTCAAAATATGCAAAATGGCACTAAATGCTTTAGAAATGCTGTAGAAATATAGTTAAAAATACTGAAAATCTGTCATTAATTGCTTGAAACATTATTATCAGTGAGAATCTTTTTCACTTTTCTTAAAATTATAATATTTTCATTATTTTATTTGATAAGGCAAACTTTGATAGAAATGTGCATACATTGTTTTGTTCTTTAATATTTGTACATATTTTCTTAGTTTCATTTATGTCATTGTTTTTGTAATCCCTTTTTGTTTTGTAATTAACTTATTTTATGTTTTATTTTGTTTAATTTATTGAAAATTATTTAACCTTGCAGAATTTACTAAAATTGTATGTATCAGCTTAAAATTGCAACTTTCATTTTAAATTAAAAAAGCATAAAACATATTTTGCTTTTAGTTTTCTGTTATACATTTTCATTGGAGGGAAAGTTACTTAATATAATGAGTTACATTAAATTCGATCAAATCAGGATTAGCCAGAAAAATATTTATGAGGTGGTGAAACAAAAAAGATTAGGGGAATGATCAGATGAAGGTCAGAAAATGACCAGATTTAGGGCAGAAAAGGGTTAATATTTAGGTCGGAAATGGTCAGATTGAGGTCGGAAAATGGTTAGTAACTGGTTAGATTTAGGTCGGCAAATGGTCAGATTGAGGTCGGAAAATGGTTAGATAATGGTCAGATTTTGGTCAGAAGAAGGTTAAATAATGGTTAGATTCTGACGTCTACCTGACGTCAGATTATTACGTCAAAAAAACTTTCAAATCCAACCGTTTTACCGACCGTCATCCGACGTCAGAACCTGACTTAGATCTGACGTCAGTATGACGTCTTGTGTTTGCTGGGTGATAACTGATTTTTTTTGGGGGGGGGGCGTCCGTGGCCGAGTGGTTAAGGTCGTTGACTTCAAACCACTTGCCCCTCACCTCTGTGGGTTCGAATCCCGACAGGGACTTTGGATTCTTTCATGTGAGGAAGCTATCCAGCTAGCTTACGGAACGTCGGTGGTTCTGCTCAGGTACCCAGGCCTCGACATTAGCGGTGGTCCGTTGGTCCGAGACCACCTGATTTTGGCAAGGACCACCTAATTTTAAAAGCCACTGGTCCGTCGGACCACTTGACTTTTCTGGTTGGTGCAGGCTCATTTGGGAGAATGGTGATTTGGTCAAAAACATGTTATTAACATTTTGTTTAAAATCATTTGTCCGATGTACTTGTATATGGTTCATTAATTCTCTTGATAAGTTAAAGACGTTCTTAAGTCATCAATAACTTTCATTTTAAAATATGATAAACAAGATCAACAAGGAAAGGCGGCGTTCAATGAACGTCGCTAAAATTTTGTTTATGCAAGTAAAAAGAGTTTAGAATTTGTGATATCAATTAGGGTACAATATTCATTCAAATGATGCTAGTAATTATGCATCGTCGGATACCTACGGCGGAATCGGTAATATTTATGTTATGTTACACGCTAATCAACCGTGGGCATCCGACGACGGTAATTATGACATTGTATGGGATATCAGATAAACTTAAAATTTCATATACTTAAATAATGGCAGCAAACAAAAGGAACTGGAAAATACATCTTTTAACTGTTTAACGATAGAGATCAATTTCATCCAGAGTTAAAATTACTTTAAAAGGTTAAAAATACTCATGTCAAAAGTAAATATCAACCAGGTAAAAATTCTGTATTATACATCTGTGAGAAAAATAAGCAAAACTATAGTTATATATAACATTGGTATTATTTTTTATCCTCAAGCTATTTCCTTGTTTTAAAATAATTTATTAGTTTTATTACATGTTTTGCAGTAGATTACTGAATTATAACGGTTAATTATATTCTGATAATTTCACAGTAATGATTACCAAATATAATTTCACAGTAGCCGAACTATATTTGGCGTAAAAATAAAATATTTATCATTAATGAATGTTTTTTTCAGCGGAAATGTAGTCAATCATAATAACAAATGTACGTGATAACTGTAGTTCGTAAATATTTACGAACGTTGTGCTGAAAAACATCTAAAATCTAAAAATAATCATGGAATTATATTTTGCTTCAACATTGTGACGTCATTATTTGATGACGTCATGAAGATAAGAGCATGACGTTACGCGGCAAAAATTAGTAAAATGGTGTAAAAATCGTTAAAAAATCATGAAATAAACAGAAAATTTGTTTGTTTTACATGTGAGATCAAATAATATTTCACTCGTGAACCCCAGCTATTATATTTTCACTCGTGGCTACGCCACTCTTGGAAAATATTGCATCTGGTGTTCACTCGGTGAAATATTTTTCGATCTTACACTGAAACAAACAAATATCCTCTATTTATTAAAAATGTTAATCTATAAAAGATACATGTAATTTGTACCACGTATCAGCAATGAATATTTGAATAACAATATGAAAATTACAGACACAAATTGTTTCACTTATAATTCCCTAACTTGAGTTGAGAGAGAAATCACTTCAATATAAAAGTTAACATAAATAAGAGCCCTGTTGTGTATCTTTGAATGACATAAAAAAAACCTAATAATTTATTGATAGAATACCTACTAACTTACTCTCCTTAATTTCTGATTAGATAAAAATATATATCTAAAATATCTGTTTTCTTAGGGTTTACGTCTTTGTCATCAATTTTAAGCATGTTTTTTTTAATTTTGCAGTAAAATGACATAATAATAATAATTATAATAATAATAATAATAATTGACCACCTGACTCCTGGAAGGATCACTTTAATTTCAGATATAGTGGTCCGGCTTACCACCTGCTAAAACAGTTAGTGTCGAGGCCTGGGTACCCGTTCGTGCCTGAAATAATGCACGGAAGGGCACCTGAGGTCTTCCTCCACCAGTAAAGCTGGAACGTCGCGATATGACCTATACTGTGTCGATGTGACGTAAAACCCAAAACAAACAAACAAACAAACAATAACTGAATTTTTCAAATGTAACATAGGAACCCGACAGGGGGACAAATCCAGTTGCTCTCTTCATTGATGAATTAGCACATATGCTTCGCGATAAATATAACTCTTGGATTTTTATTACACAAGAAATTCACGATATTGTGTGCCTAGTGTTTGCTGATGATGTTGCAAGTTGCGCTGAAACGGCAGTTAAATTACAACAGCAATTAAATGTTTTCGATTAATTTTGTAAAAATAATGGGATGAAAGTAAATTAAAGTAAAACTGAAATTATGTTTTTTTAGAAATGGGGGTTCGCTCAGACAATATGAAAATTGGCATTTTCGAGGTAATACTATCAAGGTTTATAAATATCTTGGACTTTTATTTTCACCAGGGCTATCATGGAGTGCAACGCAGGATAAATTATTTGCACAAACACAACGTGCAATACTTTCTATGTATAGTTATAAGAAACCATATGGTTATGTTCCAACAAACGAACTTTTCATTCTGTTTGATAGTATGGTTAAACCTATTTTATGCTATTGATCACAGATATGGGGATATGAATTTGTTGATTCTATCGAGGCAGTTCAAAATAAATTCTGTAAAAAGCATTTAAGTGTAAAAAGAACAACAAGTACATGCATAGTTTTAGGAGAATGTGGACGTTTGCCATTGTGTATAACTTATTTTGTTAATTGTATAAAATACTGGTGTAAATTGTTGACTATGCCAGATCATAGATATCCGAGGCAATGTTATAAAATGTCGAAGTCACTAGATGAGATTGGTCGAACTTGTTGGGCATCTAAAGTAAAATCATTACTTTATACTTATTGTTTTGGATATGTATGGCTTGCCCAAGATATTGGAAATATAGACATATTTATTTCAACTTTTCGTCAACGACTGAAAGATTGTTTTGAACAAAAATGGTATAATGATATAAATATTGCGCCCCGTTGTTACCATAATAAATTTTTAAGAGTCAATTAAACCCTGAACGTTATCTTTACTGTGATATTCCAAGAAAATATATGGTTGCTCTTGCAAGGTTTCGATGTTCCTGTCACAAATTAACGATTGAAATGGGAAGACAAAATAGTATACCACTTCATGAAAGAATATGTTTATTTTGTTTTAACCAAAATAATGTAACTGCTATTGATTGTGAATTCCTTGCCTTTTTTAATGTTCTAAGTATAATGACGCCCGAACTAATTATCTCTATACAAATGGTACTACAATCAACGATTTTTATCCGCTGGTGAATACACAAAATGAAGAAAACATTTATAAACTATCTCTGTTTGTATTTCACTTGTTGAAAAGTACCAGCTCTTGACTTATTTTATTCTTATCTTATATGTTATGCAACTGCATTCAATACATGTTTACAATATTATATTTATACTGATGTGTATTTTGGGCCGGAGGCCTTTATTTACTTAAATAAAGTTGAGTTGAGTTGAGTTGAATTTCATATTATTGTTAGTCAATCACCATTATAACAGTTAATCTTTTGAATTCATCTCAACTTGATAATGGTAACAAGTATTGTAACAAAATTGAAACATGAATGTAAAGGACACGGTCCCGGGGAATAAGCAAATACATAAATTTTAAGTCGTACCGAAAAATAGTCACGCAATAAAGAAATAGAAAAATGAAAACAGAATACATTTATATGAACAATATTTCTCTTTGCACGGGAACTTTCTTACTAGAATCCAACCAAATATCTTACTACAATTATGCAAATAATCACACTATGTCTTTTTTATGACGAGGCGTATGCAATCAGTAATACGTACACATAGAAGTATTGTAAGTGACACCCAAAAACTGTACGTATTGAAGCTATTAAGTTTATTTATTATACAATTCCTTCTATTTTTCTTACCAATCAACACACAGATATATACTTATAGTTGTAGTTTCTGTTATATTGATAACTGAATAATTGTTTGACACATTCAGATGGTTATTACTTGTATACATATAAATGTTTAGAGAACAGTGACAATCTTTATTACCTTCACCTCGTTGTCTATAACCGCTGTAGGTTCGAGCCATGCAAGCGTCGTCGGGTTCTACATGCAAGAATACCAGCACACAGAACGTCAGTTGTTCTAGTCAGGTGCCCGTTGGTGGCTGAATTAATGTAAGAGGGACACCTGAGGTCTTTATCCACCAGTAAAGCGAGAAAGTCGCCATATGACCTATACCGTGTTGGTGCGACTAAACACCCAACAAAAAAAACAAACAATAACAAAACAAAACAACAACAGTAAGCATTATGCATAGTAATCTAACGCTACAGTA